TGAGTATTACTAGCAAGTCGTAACAGTCGACGAATTTTTCGTTGTGATTTTGTATGACATAATTTAGTAAGAAAATTTGAATTCTCGTTTATTAAATGACTAACCATTTTAAATTCCACTCTTTGGAGTGAAAATAATTTTTTCGTCCTCCTTAAATATTCCTGTCCTAAGTCTTAAAGTTGGATCAGAGGAGGCATGCATGTCGATCAATAAATATCCATAGGGCTGATTTGTTGCTTGACGGTAGGCGTCCAAGAAATAGTCAAGCCTTCTAGGGAAGAGCTGGACTCCTATATTCCTTACTGCAAGGGCTGAATTAGGTGAACGCATTAGTACAATGTATTGGGCATTTTGACGAGCAACTTTAATTTTTCGATCGAATAAATTTTGTGTGACAAATATAACAGAGAAATTTTGATGGTGTGACTTTTTTGTAAAAAGCTCAGACAAATATTTTTCATCAATAGACAAAAGAAGATCATCCAAAATTAGAAGAAGTGGCTTGGGGAGTGTTTTTATTAATTCTTCGGGTGGGGTTCCGACAAAGACATTAACACCAGATCTTTGAAGTATTGGTACAATACTACTCATTTCGCCAAAACAATAGAGTATGCTCTTTGGCTTGGGTTCAATTAACTCTTCTACCTCTGAAATAAATTTGAGCAAGAACGTACTCTTGCCACTAGAACTAGGGCCTGAGACAATCATACCAAAAGGCAATTTGAGTTTTAAATCTTTATTTGAAAAAGTTAGCGTTTCCATATTAAATGATAGAAAGATTATAAAACTTGGAAATTAATGAACTTAAATACTTGGTGAATTAAAGAGGGGGTTGTAAATTAGTGTCTTCCATCTTAGCTATTACTTCATTCTTAACCTCTACGTCCGAAGATATTCCCATAGTGACAGCTTGCATAGAGTCGAAAAACTCTAAAAGGACTGCATCATCATTTTCTTTAACTAACGACTCTTCTTTGATTGGAGATAATGTTACGTGAGACTCTTGTGCTTGTATTTCTTTTTGTGGAGATGCAAGTAATGGAGTTAATATTTCCTCTTGTGTTGCAGGAGGAGGGGGTATAGTTGTTAATAATTCCTCCTGTGGAGGCATAGGCGGAGGTGGGGGTGGTGGGAGAGGTAGTTGAGATGTTGTCTCACGCTTGCGAGAACTAGTATCGTCGACTGAGCAAACATTTTGCGAACCATATGGTATATTCAAAATTCGACCCTTGTTTTTTATCTTAAATTTAAATTTTTCCAAAATTATTTTAGGCAAATGACCTTGAAAAAACAATGACCCGGGAGGTCATAAATGCAATCAAACGGTACAAGACGAGGAGCTGCAAGGCGTGTACAATAAATTGTCACTCCCTCTTTCGTAATAATAAAGTCCATTTCGACCTCCGTGCTTTTACATTCTCGGCATCGACCCCCATGTTCAAAAGGAATGAAACGTGGAGTGGTAATTCGGTCACTCGTGATAGTGATCCCATTAGTAGTTATGCTGAATTCGACTTCGGGGAGAATCTGGGTTAATAATGATTTCTTATCATTCATGTTTAAAACCATTCTATTAAAATTTTCTAAAATTAATTAATTTTGTTTAGATTTTTGAGTTTATATACCCTTCTCTCTCACTCTAATAGGTGTCTGTACTCTCTAACCCTACAGTATTTCTCAACTTTATGTGTATCTATTTTGAACAAGACACCAAATTTGAAAAAGCGAAGCCAAGCCATTTTAAAATCGAAGCCAAGCCATTTTTAAAAAATCGATATTAAGCCACGCCCACTTTTTACTTAAAAAGTCAATAATTTTTATTTCTCAAGGTCATTCTTTATAATTTACAACAATTTGTACTACAATTAAATATTTAATATTAAAAAATGGAACAAAATAACTCAGCCACTGAGAAGATTGGTAACTTTTCATTTTAAAAACCTGATTAAGTTTCTATTTTAAAAGATGGGGATTGTGAGAAAAGCAAAGAAATTTCCGTTTCAAAACCTGTGAAATTGGAAAAAAAGAAGGAATCAAAAAGCTCTTTAGGTTTAATAATAAAATAATTATTACCATACAAATTTTTTAAGAATCAACTCTTACTAATCCTCCTGTTGATCTAAATAAAATAAAAATTGTTGAAGAGCACGTTGTTAAACAACAACAACTTTGGAAGCTAATACGAGGAAAATTCTTAATTACATTCTATCTGTGTCAAGGTAATAAAATTTAATATTCTATTCAAAAATTAAATTTTTAGACTGCCAAAACAAATTATTTTATTCAAAAGACAAATTTGAAGAGAATCCTTCTTGTGTTACTGTGAAGATAGGATTATGCAATAACTGTGTCAACGCTAATAGCACTGCTACAGATGTTCTGGCACCATACAAAAAGATTGGAAGTAAACGAAAAGCAGAATGAAGGGAAAACTGACATTAATTTAAGAAAAGTTGAAAATTTTCATTGTAAAATTTAAATGTTGAATTAATAAAATAAAAATTAATAAAAAAATTAATGAGTATTTTGTTTAATAACAACTTTAGGCAAAATGATAAACAGATGCGGTCTTTTGCATCTGATAGGGCAAAGAGTTATCTAGAAAATGACCGGTCAGTTTTTTAAGTTAGGTCCTAGAAAAATTTTTACGACCGTTTTACAAAAGACCATATTTTTCCAAAAATCTCAACTTTACTATTTTTTCCAGTGAAGAAAAATAAAAGGAAAAGGAAGTTAACCCCAAAAGATCAACACCACTGAGATCACCCAACCAATTACGTAACTCAAAAATAAAATTTCTCTTACCCCTCTCCAAACCAATTAGTAGAACAAATTGGTTTCCCTTGCCCCCAGACCAATTAGTCACTAATTGGTTCCCCTCGGTCCAGCCCGTCAGACTCGGCGGCATTTCCCTTTGATCATCAATCAAAGGACTGTCGGTATCCCTTTGATATGGTAGTCATCCAGCATATCAAATTCTAATGGTTCATCATTTTTGTCGGAATCAGAAGTTGTTGTTTTGTCGATTCGAAGTTTTTCAGAAACATCCACATACAATGGTTTATCATTTTCCATGACAGGGAAGCTAATATAATCCTCTTCTTTATCATCAACTAATTCAAGTAATTCAAGCGGGTAGTAACGGTCCTCACAACGCCGTGGGAACTTCTCAACCACGCATTGAAGATACGGATAACGTAAACGAATTCTATGCCGTGAATAGTAATGAGCCGTTACTGAAACGTTGTAGGGTCGAGACAATGCTCCATAAGCCATTAGAGTATGCGCTCCTAAATGTAATTTTAATGTACGTGGGAAATGATTAGGAACCTTTATGAGTAAATCCATGAAACGTGAAAGTTTTTCGAAAGTCGTTACGGTCAGAATATAGCGTTCGAACAATCCTTCCTTTTAGCTTTGAATGTAGAAGGGCACGCTTTGCCGGGTGATTTAAATGGTCTCGAAGAGACTTTGGGTGGCAATTAAGTATTTCAGCACACTCATCGATTAAATGACGCATTTTGAAGTTAAGAAATTAATGAATGAAAATTTTTTAAAAAATTTTTTGGCTTTTATACTCTCTCAAAATTTCACCATTACTTAATATTTAAAAAATATTAACTAAAAATTATACGGTCCCTCGATTATACAAAATATTTACAATGACAGATGTTTAATTTATTAAATATTATTCTGTTAAACAATTCGAATGACCTTGAGAATATTCATTCCTTAAAATTTTGGGAACATTTTGGTTAATAACTTTGTTCATGAAAAAGATAAACAGATGCAGTCTTTTGCATCTGATAGGGCAAAGAATTCTCTAGAAAATGACCGGTCAGTTTTTTAAGTTAGGTCCTAGAAAAATTTTTACGACCGTTTTACTAAAGACCATATTTTTCCAAAAATCTCAACTTTACTATTTTTTCCAGTGAAGAAAAATAAAAGGAAAAGGAAGTTAACCCCAAAAGATCAACACCACTGAGATCACCCAACCAATTACGTAACTCAAAAATAAAATTTCTCTTACCCCTCTCCAAACCAATTAGTAGAACAAATTGGTTTCCCTTGCCCCCAGACCAATTAGTCACTAATTGGTTCCCCTCGGTCCAGCCCGTCAGACTCGGCGGCATTTCCCTTTGATCATCAATCAAAGGACTGTCGGTATCCCTTTGATATGGTAGACCCTTCCCGCCCCTCCCCCATACCAATTAGTAAAACAAATTGATTTCCCCTTGCCACCTCCCCGACCAATTTGTCAAGCAATTAGCAGCTTAGATTCCCTTGACCTCCTCCCCAGACCAATTTGTAAAACAAATTGATTTCACCCTTACCCCTTCCCCAGACCAATTAGTCAACTAATTGTTTCCTCTTACACCCAACCCCCAAACCAATTAGTCAAACAATTAACACCTTTTTGTAATAAAATTTTCATTACCCCCTCCTCCAGACCGATCAACCAATCAATCAATCAATCAACTAATTGATTTCCTCTTACACCCAACCCCCAAACCAATTAGTCACTAATTAGTTCCCCTTACACATCCCGCACTTGTCAACAGGTTCGCGATTATACGGGGCAGACCCCTCCCCTTAAAATGATTTATGAGGTACAAATTAGTTCGGACCCCTCCCCCGATTAATAATTTATTACCCTGGCGGTAAGATCAAAGAGGATCATCAAAAAGATCAAAAGAAAAAGCCGACAAAACCCCCTTTTACCCTTTGGTTTTTGTCGGACCCCTCCCCCAGACCCCTCCCCCGACACCCCTCCTATAGGTTGGCGGCATTTCCCTTTGAAACGAAACACGGGGGTTAACTACTCTAAACCCTCCCTAAAATGGACCTTATAAAAATTATATTCACAGGATGAAACTAAACTTGCACTGCAATCACTCCCTTCTCCCTCTGTACTTCGCGAAATTCAATCTAAATTGCCCAAGAATTGCTGTAGAGCTCAAGCCTTGGAGGACGAACAGCAATATACGTTCTCCTATGGAATGGATCATTCAACAAATGCCCGTTCAATTGGAAGACGGCGATTATTCTCAATCGAGGGTAGCTATTATGAAGACAATCTTCCAGGCGTGGCTGCACCGTTGGATAGTGATTATGAGTTCAGGACAGCAAGAGAAGATCATCAGCCTCTAAATGAATTGTACAGTCCAACAGAAAATGACAGGAGTAAAGGTACTTCTTTTATGGCTTTTAGAAGCATTGCCTTCACTATAAGATACACCCTTGGATCTGAAAAAAATATAGCTTATATTGAGGTGTATGTTGAATAGGGGGTATCGTTTGAAAAGCTCTTCCATCCAATAGTCTACTGAATTTAAAAGTTGTTTCGTGAATAGGGGGCTATCGTATTTTTGGCAGCTCCCCCACATGATCGTCTACTGAATTGAGGTTATCTTATAGTGGGGGTATCTTATAGTTTATTAAGTGCATCTTATAATTAGGCATTCAATTGACTTTTAAACAGGATATATTTTTGCCGACGGTGCCAAGAGTAGTTCCGGCATCTCTTCAAGTTGTTATACAAGCTCTTCACGGAGTTGCGAGCTTCCAGACTGTGATCAACAACAAAAAACAACCCCACGAGAGAGGAGAAGGTCCCCCCGATTAGACGACTCTTCAATCGTTCCTACACACCGTGCCCAGTTCGAATTTATGCCTAGACATGCTGACGAATTGAGATTAGATCGTGGGGATGCTGTGCATGTAAACGAGAAATTTAATGACCATTGGTGCTTTGGCCTGAATCTCCGTTCAGGGCAACGTGGAATATTTCCTGAAGCTCTCATAGTTGAAATAGATTTGGTGGATGAAATTTGCAAAAAAGTTCTTCCTGAGACTAAGATGAGATTGGAACGTGATACTTTTTATTTGACAATGCTTGCTTCTGTTGAAGTTGCCCATCACAAGGGAAACGATATTTTGGTTCAAGCGATTAATAAGGTACTTTACTTTAAGTGGCGTCCGGAATTTTCTACCGTACCGTATTTCATACCGTAATACCGAAGAATACCGATACCGAACAATACTAATAACTGCCGTCAAGCCAAAACATTGGGGCCAAAACCGTTATCCCAAAACCCAAAACACCAAAATATACCGTACTACTGATACAGTATACCGATAGATGCCGAAAATACTTTCGATACTACTGTACCGTCCGAGCTCTAATATTAAGCTCTTCAGCTTTTAAAATAAAATTTTGTTAGGTCTGTTCAATGTATCTACAAAAGGATGAGATCCTTGTACCTCAAACGGTGAGCACCAAATATTTTTTAAAATTCTTATTTAATTTTAAAGGTATTAATGGAAATTTCATTCCGTGGAATTCATGTAATTGACAAACGGAAAAAAGACGTAATTTCAAAATTTTCAAATTTAAATAAAAAAATTTCCCAAAAACAGATATTTCGTTGCCCTACTTTTGACTATTTTTACAGCCTACAGAACATCTCCTTTTGTGGAGCCCACCCAAAAGAATTACGGTAATACCTAATATAATAAAACCTTACCCTGAGAAATTAATAGATTATAATGAGGGATACCATATTTACTTTATTAATTCCCCTGGGGAATTATTTTTTCAACCAATCCGTGGCATGGGGAATTATTCAAGGGAGGGGAATTAATCGAGTTTTGAAATTTGAACGTGTAGTAGGGTATTTGGGTGAGGGGGATTATTGTTTCAACTCATCCGTAGTAGGGGGAATTACTCGAGAAAGTTGAATTACTCGAAAAAGTGGAATTATTCGAGGGAGGGGAATTAATTGAGTAAATAAGGTCCTTAAATTGGGTGTAGGTTATAATGAGAATTATCAGATCAAAAAATCGTTCGCTTCTAACGTGTTAGATTGGGGAAGACTTTAGATTTTGGAGAGTTTAAAGAAGATATCGTATTCTTAGCCACTGCTACCTTAAATTTGGGGTGTCAAATATTTTGGCAGCTTTCTCCTCTGGCTAGTCAATAAAAAATATTTTAATTTCCTCATTTCATTATCTAATATTGGGGGATTTTATAGTCCAACTACTTAACAAAATTAAAAATTATTTTTAAAAAAAGGTATTTTGGCTTTATCACCAAACACCCCATTTTGCCTCGCTTCGCTTGCCACGTATTTCTTTCTAATGAATCTACTCAAGCTATTGTTGAAGGTTAATTAATTAACTCTAAATATTTAATTAATTAAATATAGCTATTGGACGTGCTTTTAAACGTTCCTATGATGAGTATATGGCTTTTGCCCATCCAACGGAGGATATTTTCTTAGACGAATAATTTTTTGTAAAATCCTTTTATCACCTTGAAAGATATATTTCAGTCATTCCATTTGGTTAGGGTTGTCTCGGTTCTTAGAAAATCTTCGGATCAGAGGTGGGTCGGAACAGCCAGAGGTGTCAGAAGTCGGAAATCGGAACTTGCTCAAAAGTCGGAACTTGGAAATCAAATTTTTTTCGAAAATCGGAAGGAAAAAAATGTCGAAACTCGAAATTCCGACCCACCTCTGCTTCGGATACCTAGAACAGAACCTGACCAGAAACTTCTTCGGTTAGCTTCCAAATCGACAACCCTATACATTTGTTTTAATGAATTTTTCTGTTTTTGTATAAAAAGTTTAATTAAAAAACGAAAAACAATCTTAATTATTTGAGTTAATAAAGGGTTGTTTTCTGTTAGTACGGGAAGGCTTCAGAAAAAATTTTCGGAAGACATCGCTAAGGAGGGACTAGGAGACTGGCAATCTCCCAAAAGCAATCTCCCAAAAAATTCTCTCAAATTTTGCAGCCTTCAGGCACGGGTTCCAATAAGTACCAGGGATCTACCCAACCCGATTTCCAAAAAACTGGAATTCCTGACGTTGTTTGGGTCGGGAATTGAATTTTTATGTTGAATTTTTATGTCGGCTGATCCCTAATAGGTAAGTACCCAAATATCTATTTTATTATTGTCTGAAATAGTCACGCTCTTGTTTACATTTTAAATTAATTTTATTTAAATTTATTCTTCATAATTATACCAATTTAAGTATTAAACTATTTAAAAGGCTTATTCATTTTTAGTTATTTAGCTGTTTTTATTGACAGATTCTCGGACTTTTTTAGAGAGAAAATTTTATTTATTAATTACTCTCTTATAAATTTTCCCTCAATTTTATATTTAATGTGAGTTGGCAATTATTAGGTTATTGAAAGGTAACCATGGAAATTACCGCTTATAATTAATTTTAAAAGTATGAGAGAACTACCTAAATTTAAAAAATTGTAAACAACCTTTCTCCTTAATTGGCAAAACATTTTCGAGCAAAATACTTAAGGGGACGAGTCCCTTACACCCTATTATTTCCTAAAATAAAGCCCCATGGGGCTCTATTTTTCATCTATCCTCCAAAGTAGGGCTCTATTTTAGGGTGGGGCTCTAATTTAGCATGAGGCTTTATTTTAGGAAATACGGTATTGTAAAACTTGTCTTTTCACTTTTAAGCAGACTTAATTCGCCCATGGAAAGTTCTGTAAGCTTAAAATATCACATATTTTTGGGTCCACCCTACAAGACCTAATAACTAATGATTAGAGAAACTAGTGTTGTTTTGGCGTTTGGCGTGCCACGCAAAAATTTTTGGCGCACATCCTTGTTCTCTTTCGAGTTGTTCTCCAGTAGGTTGATCTTTTGGGTAATTTGATCTTTAAGGAGTGTTGATCTTTTGGGTTGTCTCATATTTTAATTGTTAGTGAATTATTTTTTTCTTAAACGTTTGAAAAATATTTTTTTATGTTTTAAACTAACATAAAATTTTATTTTTTCTTTCTAAAATTAAATTTTCTTTTTAGATTTATTTTTAATTTTCTTTTTAAATGCCCCAACAAATTATGGAAGTTGTGGAACAAAATCAAACGATTGACTTAACAGCCGACAAGGATGGAGGGGTTTTGAAGACTATAATAAAGTAAGGAAGGGAGGGAAGGAGGGGGGATGTAATTCCAAGATTGGCCCCCCCCCCCTTTTTTTCTTCCTTAAGAATGACATATTGGTCAATTTTTCTTCCTTCCTCAATTTCGGTCTAGTTACCTGTGGCAAATACAAATCAGACTTTCTTCTCCAAATGTCATTCTTAATGGAGGAAAAATGAAGGACCAGCCTTGGAATTACCGGATGTGGTTTTTTGAAAAATATTTTCTTTTTTTAAGGCAAGGAATTGATTTAAATAAACATCCAAGGAAAGGCGACACAGTTTTTATTCATTATACTGGGACAATTAAATCAACTGGAAAAAAGTTTGACGACAGTAGAGCTCGTGACCAACCTTTTTGTTGTTCTCTAGGACGCGGACATGTAAATTAATATAATTTTTTTCTTAAATTTGTCTCAAGCTTCTCGACCTAGCTAAAAAAAAAAGGCCCAAACTTTTCGGAAATAGCTCCATATGGGAAAAAGCGCTAAAAGTGGTATAGGAAAGGGTAATTCTTCGATTTAGACCTCTTCCCGCCATTTTCTGAATCTCTGTCCATTTTGAGCTTTTCCTGACCATTTTGAGACTCACATCAGCTCGAAAAGCTTTCTAGTTGTAAACCGAAGAATTACCCATTCCTATCCCAATTTTAGGGCTTTTTCCCATACGGAGCCATTTTCGGTAGGTTGTGAGCCTTTAAATTTTTCTAAACAAAAAGAATTACCGAGGAAGGTAACCAGGCTCTACTTGATAGGAGCAGAAAAATCTTCAAAATTAATACCCATAGTTCGTCTGGGTCCCCTGTTTGTCGAATTCAGGAAGCTAGGAGGGAATTGAAAAAAAAATGAAAAGGTTCGAAAAAGAGGGCTCATAATGGTCAAAATTGCCACAGAGTATTAAAAAAATTTCCTTAACTTTTTTCAGATAATCAAGGCTTTGGATCTTTGTCTAATCACTATGTGCAAAGGTTTTTTTATTAAAAATTAATGAAAAAAATTTTTTTTTATTAATTTAGGAGAAGTTGCTCGTTTAGAATGCCTTCCAAAATATGCTTATGGACATTCTGGATCGCCTCCAAAAATTCCAGGAAATGCAACTTTAATTTTTGAGGTTATTAATTTAATTTTGAGAGTTTATTTTAAATAATTTTGGGTATGGATTTAGGTTTATTTTAATTTTGTTTAAAGGTTGAAGGGAGGGGATCCGTTTATTAGCGTTTAAAACGTTTAACCAACATTCAGACGGATCCGTTTAGTCAACATTATAATAGACCTTCAGGCTTTAATAGGAAAGACGGGGTTCATCCTTATATCAGTAGTTCAGTTTGTAGTCCACGAACTTGTCTTGCCAAGACTAGCTATAACTTTCTGGAGACTTCAGGTTCGATTCCTGTCCGTGGCTTAACTCTCTGAAGAATTTTAATTTCATTTGTTTTTCAAGAATTTTATATCCAAACAAGCCAAACCCCCCGTTTAATTTAAAAAATATTCTTTAGAAAAATCCTTTTCTGTTTTTAAAGATTGAACTTCTAAGTTTTGAAGGGGAAGATTTAAGTCCTGATCGTAATGCATTAATTACAAAATCAATACTTAAAGAAGGAAAAGGAAAATATGATTGTCCTCCTGAACATGGAAAAGTTAGAGGTTTTTTTTATTTTTATTTTTTTATTTAAAAAATTTTTTCAAGTTCATATTTGTGGAAAAACTGGAAAAGGTAAGATTTTTTTATTAAATTAAAATAATTTTTTAAAAATCCGCAAATTTTGTCCGCAAAAAAATGCGGACGAATTTTTGCGGATTTGTCCGCAAAAAAAAATGCGGACAAAGTTTGCGGACACCTATGTTATTTTCCCTTTATTTTCTTTAAAAATTCACCTAATTTTTAGGTGAAAACGAGCGCATTTTTTACCAAAAAACACATTTGGAATATACTCTGGGTGAAGGATTGGAATATGGTTTGCCTGTAGGTATTGACACGTTAGTTGATTTTTTACAAAATTTTGAAAAAAATTTAATTAAATTTTTAGAGCAATTCGAAGAATGAATCGAGGGGAAAAAGCAATTGTTACTTTAAGAGGACATTTTGCTTACGGATTAGACCCGCCCCCATATTACCAAATAGATAAAATGGCTGAAGTGAATTTTACAATTTTCCTTAAAGGATATGAAAAGGTTTGGAAAGTTTTTTGGAAGTTTTTGAAAATTTTTATGAATTTTTTCAAATTTTAAAATTTTTGTGAGAAAACCTTGAGGCAATAGAATTTTGAAAAAAAAATTTTAATTTTTCTATGATTTCAAATTTTTCGGATTTTTTGAAATTCTTTGAATTTTTTTGGAAATTTTTTTGAAAATATTTTTTTTAATTTTTTTACCTTTAGTCAGTAGAACTTTGAAATTTTCAAAAAAATATTTTTTTTGAAATTTTCTGACAAAGGAAACCACTCGAACTGTGAGTAGCGAATTTTTAACTAATTGTAAGAATACCATCGTGCAGAGCAGAAAAGCCAGAAATTGGCAATAGGTTATCGACCATGCTCTACACGATGGTATGCTTTTTATTTAAAAATTTTTAATCACAGTCCGACAAGGGCGTAGCCAGGGGATTTCTGGAGCTCTAGCTCCCCCCTGAAATGGGGAAAGTGAAAAAATTTTAGGAGGGAGATGATCAGAAAGTGAATTTTTTACGCCTACAACCTGGCTACGCCCTTGCAGTTTGAGTGGTTCCCTTTGTAAAATTTATTTGAAATTTTCTGGATTTTTTGAAATTTTTGAATTTTTTTAAATTTTTTGAGAATTATTTTCTTAATTATTTTAATTTTTAGATGAGAGCAAATTGGGAATTAAATGATGAAGAAAAACTTGAAAGAGCCCAAAATTTTAAAGATTTGGGAAACGAATTTCTTAAGGCTGGGAAATACAATGTTGCTTTAAATAAGGTTTTTTCTTAAATTTTTAATTTTCATTCGTTCTTTCAAAGTATTCCGCAATAATTTATTTAATGGAACACGCAAAATCAATGAAATCTGAAGAAAAAGGAGGGAAAGAAATGGCTGAAAATTTTCAACAAATGTTCTTTTTTGGATTGTTAAATAGTGCTCTAGCAAGTCTGAAAATGGGAGATACACTCGAGGCTATTAAATTTTGTGACAAAGTTTTGGAGAAAAATTCGACGAATGTTAAGGCATTGTATCGAAAAGCACAGGTTTTTTTTATTTTCTAAAAAATTTATTTTTTTCAACATTTAGGCCTATCAACAAAGACAGGATTATGACGATGCTATTAATTATTTTAAAAAAGTTTTGGAAATTGAACCAGAAAATAAAGGTTTTTATACAACTATTTTGAAATTAAAAGACACGGGGCATGCCAGTCTACTTTTGGAATCGACTAAACGTAAAAGTCAGATCAAATTAGATTGATTTTACCACCATTCATCGCAGAATAAGAAACTCGACCTTTGGTCAAATGCAAGGGCGCAGCCAGTTCCCTATTTCAAGAGGACTCAGAAGCCCCTTTGGCTACCTCTTGGTCAAATGGCAGACGAAAAGTCAAGTTATCCGAACTGACTTTTCAACCCGGCCCATCCCTAGTAGCAAGAGTTGATCGAATGTCGAGCAAAACTATTGGGTTGTAACTTAATTTCCTTTTTATTTTTTAAGCTTCTGCTCAACAAATTATTGAATGTAATAATCAAAAACTTGCAGTTGCTGAACATCAACGAAAAAAATTTAAAGGAATGTTTGGTTAAATTATGAGAGAGATATACAAAAAGAAGGGGTATTTTTAAATTAAAAAAAGAGCTTTCTCTTCAACTTTTTTGGGCATTTTTTGGTACCATAATATTTTTGGTTGACTCTTATCACTAGTCATAAATTATATTTAAATTATTAGACATGTTGCGATTCAAATTTATTTTCCAGAGAAACTTTCTTTTTTAATGACCTTGAATCAAGAATCTAGCCGACGTAACAAATAAATTCTCGATTTTGGGAATTGGGATCTCCAACTCAAAAAATGTCAGTAATTCCTGATTTTCGAGAATCTGATCGCCTAAATCCGCCCTGGATTATGCAAAAAATTTTTGTTTATAATTTATGGCCATTTAATTTAAAACTCTATCCATTACAAGGGAATAGACAGTGGAACTTTAGACATGGTCCGGGACCTTTAGACCTCTTAAAATCTGACCCTGATGCGTTCTAAATCCATTAGTTAATTCATACAGATTTGGGTGGCTATGATGGGTTTTTCTGAAATTTTCTTTAAATTAATTGAATTTCACATCGATATACTCTTTTTCTAGGGTTGTCGGTTTCAAACCGAGCCGATTTTTCGATTCGAAAATTTTGAAAAAAAATTCCAAACCAAAAACCCGAAGATTTTTGGTTTCGGTTAACATATAAATCTGGTGAAAAACCGGCAACCCCTTACTCTTCTCTCTCTAAATTTATGTAAAAAATATTTTTTTTCTTTTTGGGTAAATTTTAAAAATAAAATTTTTTAAAATTAAAATTCAAAATAATTTGGAGGAGTTTCACATTCATTTTCGTAATAATCAAAATTTTTCTCATTTCGTATTTCTGCTTCAGAAGCGCAATCATCAAACATTTCTGTTAGGGCATAAGAGTGGGGAGGTTGAAGTAAATTAAATTGATTTATTTGGTTAGTTGGTGAAGGGTTGATAATTGGAGACCAACGACGTTTACGTGAATATTGGTCCTTAAAAATGAATTTTTTGGGTTTTATAGACTGCTAGGGAAAGGAAGGGTGATCCAGCATTACGATTGCTAGAGAAGGGAAATTAAAACCTTGCCCTTGGTTTTTGATCTTAACCAGATCCTTGACCTTGAGTCAAGAAAAGAGAAGGAAAGCTGGAAAATGCCAGATTCTTTACTCGAATCCAGGGAAAATTAAGGTCTGGATCCATATCCAGGCCGATCTCTACCGCTCACTAGGCAGCGCCCCGGTAGCTCACTAGGTGGTGAACGGGTAACCGTTGGAGGTTGTAGGGTCGATGCCTGCCCTAACCTATCTCAGCTAATAAATTTATTTTTAACCTCACGCCATTTTGTCCATTCAGTTTGTGTGTAAACATTTTTCTTATTTTTTTGTTTTGTCCCCTTTTCTTTTTCATTATTTTGTTCATAATTAGTTAATGCTGGTTGTTGAATTAATCCGACGGGGAAACATCCAAACAAACTTGTTAATAAAGGGCTTCCCCCAAGCGTAGAAAATGTTTGGGCAAACCGAAGATTTTCGCTCATTGAATTTGCGAGTGCCTAATTTTTAGAAATTATTATTTTTCGCTTAAGGATATGGTCGAAACCTCATCTGACATTTAAAAAATCTCTATCCTATGACTGGGTGTATCTTCGAAAGAGGGTATTTTAATGATGTTATTTTAAAATAGTGTATCTCTTAGCCCACCCACCAAATTTTGAAAATCGTATCACTTAAATAGAAAGTACCCCCTATAAGGAGGTTATCTTATATAGAGGGTATCACTTTCGCAGCCCCTCCCAGTCACATGGTTTAGAGACCTGATTATAGACCTGATCGAGACGAGATCTCGATTCTCGTACGACCTCCCTCCCTCCATCCCAGTCCGATCTCTAGTTAAGATATTGGCTTTATCTTATTGTGAGGTTCGACAGTATATTTAACTAAATACCGTAATTATCGGCAGATAAAGCAATATGTTCCCAAAAGTAATATTTGCATTACAATTTTGACGATATTCCTTTAAATTTAAAGAGTTTTCTTTTCAATTTCTAACTTCAAAAATACTTTAATAATTTGAAATAAAGTTGTGTATATTCTATCCCTTAAAGAATAAATTTTGTTGGAAGCAACTTCTGATAAGTCCCTTGCCACTTAAATTATAAGGAAATCGTTAGTATTTTTCAAAAAACAAACTTGGATTGAGCACAAGAATGGCAGAAACACAAACATAAAAATCGAAAGAAAATTTTAAAAAATTTTTTTTAATTTACAATTTCCTCTTCGCTTAAATGAATTCTACGGAAAGGTGTAACAAGTTCATTAAGTAAACGATCCACTAAACCGTTGTCGAGATGGCTAAAATATAAGGGGAATTGGAGAATTCTTTATTTTTAAAAGCTAATGTACCTTGTTATAAGAAATCCCCCTTTGGGCTTAAAAATTGGTGTCTTCTAATGAGATGTTTGTTAAATAGAGGGTACCTTATAATGAGTGGCATCTTAAATAGAGAGTATCATGTGAGGGTATCCTAAATAGAGTATACCTTATAATGAGGTGTATATTAAATAGAAAGGTACCTTATAATGAGATTTATGTTAAATAGAAGGGTATCTCCTTGCCAGGTCCTCCACCCAATGACCACACCCAAATTTTAAAGAAACGTATCCTATACCGGGTATATTTTTAACCTATTTTATACTGAGGTCCAACTACTGTAATAAATTCAAAATTCAATTACTAAGCATCATTATAAGCTTTGCTAATATTTCTAGGGACATAAGCAAAATTGCATAGGCAAAGCATATCTTCATTTTGTGTAACAACTGCTGTACGGGCCGAACATTTGAATAAAGTTAAAGGTCCAAAACAAGATTTAACAAGAGAAATTCTTTAAAAAACATTTAATTATTCATCCCTAAAATCCCCCAAAAGTTTACCTATCTTCAATAGACAACCCTCCAACTCTATCAGCCAAAGCCTCTACCCAATCAACGGCTGCAATTAAACGACGATACACAACAACGAAAAATTCTTCGTTTTTGGCCATTCTATAGGGTTCGTAACGCATCTTTTTATGCAAAATTATTTATCAGAAGAAAAATAACACACAAGACCAAATTGAATCTCTGGGCTTCTATTTTTAACGGGTCTCATTGAACCTTTCATAATTGAAATGGGCTTCCATTGGTGAAAAGGGCTCGAAATGGTCAAAAAACAGAGGTGAGTTTCAGCTCTATTTTTTGTCACTCGACTCAGCTAGTGAGCTCTTTCGATTGAAATATAGAATGTCCCATAATAAAAACCCCCGGAAAATATAGTTTAGCCAAGTATTTAAATGGTTTTTCAGGTTGATCGCTAGCGGGTTGATCTTGAGGGTTTTCACTTCTAAAGTGCAAAATTGATTTCTCACCTCGGTTCGCCTTCCCATCAATTTTTTAGGTTCTTCAATAATTTCTCTAATTGTGTTTATTCGTAGTGGGTAAATGTCTGCAGCATCGTGGGTAGTGTCTCCATGGACAACCTTTGAAAAAGAAATTTTTTTCTGATTTTTTTGAAAATTTTTTAAAAAATTTCTAAAAATTTTTTTTCTCTGAAAAAATCCTTGAGAGAGATCTAAAAAATTGCGAACAAAATTAAAAATTTTCGGCTTTTTGGGAGAGAAGAGAACACAACTTTTGCTTCAATATTTTGTAGAGTCATTAGCATTGTGCGCAAATCAACAGGCAATTTTTGACTTAAATTTTTTGTCTTTTCATCGTTGTTATTTGTCGTTTTTTCATCAATTGAACTTAAACGTCTGCGAATTGGTGAAAGTGAAAATCGATGTGTTTCTAATTGTTGTTTTCCGGTTAGTGAACGGTCAGGGCGAACAGCTGTATTTTTTAGGAATATAGTTGGAGCTCATTATAAGAGACCCTCTTGGGGGGAAAACTATCGTACCTTATTAATGTAGTGTATCCTAAACAGGGCTGCATGCAAGTGAAAAGAGATTTTGCAACTAGTAATTGCAAAAACCTCCCGCAATTTACTCAATCCACAACTCGCAATCCGCAATTGCATGTAGTTCTGATCCCAAATAAGGAAGGTAACTCAAAATTGGGTTGGTCACATTGTGGAGGAATGTATAGGCAATACCCTCTATTTAATAAACACCTCACCCTAAGATAAACCCAATAAGAGATACACTTCTTATACCCTCAATACTAAGCACCTCCTATCTAAAATGCACTGGGTGGAAGTTTAAGGGATACCTTCAATTTAATATACACCTCATTATAAGACTTGATTTTTCTAGCCCAAGATTTTTCTAGCTCCAACCTTCTCTAAAAGAAAATAGAATTACCAGCGGGGTCCATCCCAACATCCAAACATTTTTGGAGTCGGCAAGCTCGGCAAGAAGTTCGTTCATCTTATTAAAATTAATTTAAATTTACACCAAATATTTCCCCCCTACTTTTATCAATAATACAATTATTGTTGTGAAAGCATTCGTATTCGTTTAATTTTTTAAGTGCTCGACGGAAGAAGCCCTTTTTTGGAAGGGAAAAATATTTTTTTTTAATTTTTAATTGAAACAGAAACGTTTACTTTACATCCAAGACAAGCTAAAACGCCATAATGCATTTTTGGATTTTCTTGTCCACAAACCAAACATTTGGAGGCGTTTTTCTGTATTTTTTATGATTAATTTTAATATTAAATTTAAAAGACTACTATTGTTGATGTTGAAGCTTCATTTGAAGGTTGTTGGGTAGTCTGATCATTATTTTGCATTTTTGATATTTTCAGAAAAATTATATTAAGTGAATATTCTAATAGACGCCCATCTCTATTAAGAATCCCTATCAAAAATTAACTATTCTAATAAACGCCCATCTCTATTAGAAGTCCCTATTAAAATTCTAATAGACGCCCATCTCCAATAAAAGTCCCTTTTAAAAATTAACTATTCTAATAGACGCCCGCCTCCATTAAAAGCCTAAAATTTAACCCTGGGCGTTTATTGGAATAAAAAATTTTTTTCTAATTTACGGCCAAAAGTTTACGGCCAAACTTGTGTTAAAAATAAAGATTAAATATAAAAAAGAAAAGAGAAAAATGAATTTGTTGAACTCTCCAAAATATAATGCGGTACATAAAATATTTTTAAAATGTCTGCCGAATAAAACAAAATCAAAAGAATAATAACAATAAAAAAAAGTTTTTTTATTGTTGATATATAAACATAAAAATCACGAGAGATGTTCAAATAAATAAATATTTTTATTGAACTATTTTATTAATTTTTGGAGTAAATAAAAACATAATTTAGCTATTTGAAACGTTTAAAACGTGTAAATATTGACGGGACATGAAAATTATTTTTTGGAAAAGACAAAAGTGAAAAAAATATTTTCTTATCGATGACAAGTTGAATATTTTTTAGGGTGAATTTTAATTATTTCTGAATTTTTGACAGTTTAGAGTAGGGGTGAGCGGGATCGGGATTTAAAAATCGGAACGGGATTTTGGAATAATGACCCCGATCCTGATCCCAAATCGGGATCGGGATTTAAAAATCGGAACGGGATTTTGGAATAATGACCCCGATCCTGATCCCAAATCGGGATCGGGATTTAAAAATCGGATCGGGATTCACTTAAAAAAATTTTTAATTTTTGATTTTCATCACATAAAAATCGGGAGCAAAAACGGTGTGGGAGTCGAAAACCGGCAATTACTGAAAACTGCGGAGACCGGTTAATAACCGGTTGTCTCCAACCCTACTTTAAATTTTCAGAAATAACTAGCAAATCTATTAAATATCGAAAACTTTCAAAATTTGGGAAGTTACACATTTGATAATTCCAATTAGATTTTTAGGGAGGAGAGCTAATTAAAATTAATTTAAAAATAAAATTAATGCTCACAACGATAAAAAACTATTTTTTGAATTAATATGAAGGGACGACTATTTTGATAAATCAATAAAAAATAAAAACTACTAATAGTATTAAATATTAAAAAATAATGAATATATTTTCGCAATTTTATAAAATATTGATCCGTCATATTTTTAATAAAGTTCGATAAAAATCGTTCAATTTAAATAAAAAATAATTCAAAATTTTTAGGCAAGATTTATCGTTTAAATATGAAAGTACGTCGAAAAACAAAATTTTTAATTGTTTTGGTAAAAAATTTTTTTCCTTTAGGTTTTTGAATATATTTTTAGGAATTCATTTAGTATTTTCCTCAACCTGAATCTAATTAAACTTTTTGGGAGAATTCTTTTAATTAAAATTATAATTTTATAATACTACTATTTAATTTTAAGCTTCAGTATTTCTTGAAATCTAATCTTCTGTTGTTTTTCTTCCTCCGTTTAGTCCGCCCTATCCAAACATTCTACACAGATTTAGGCAAGGAATATCCTTTAATTTAAAATCATTTAAAGATTTTTTTAAAAATTCACTGTAAATTTATGTAAAAATAAAAAATTAAAGAGAATTATTTTAAAAATACATTATCAAGATTATCCCATCTTTTGTCATCAATAAACTCTTCATTATCATTTAGATTATAATTCTGAAATTTTAAGAAAAAAAAAAAACAAAGACAACTACATACATATAATCTCAATTATATCTCAAAACATTAAATAAAAATAAAAATAAATTTTTTAAAGCTTTGGATCAACATGCTTGTACATGTAAAGATATCCGGGAAACAAATAATAGAGACTATAAATAAATAGTAGAGATACAAAAACAGAAATTTTGAAAAAAATTATGAAAATGGGAAAAATAATTGGAAAATGAAAAAAAGTGAGAAAAAAGAGGAATTAAAAATGAGGAATGGATTAACACCTTTTTATTGATAAATCCAAAATAAATTATAATTAATTAATATTTTTTAAATTAAATTACTAAAAGATTATTTTTTTAAGTTTGTCTTGTTTGTAAGCTTTTAAATGTGAACTCAAATTTTTGACTAAATTTCGAAAAATTTCCATACCTTCCAAGATCGTACTGTGGTTCTCTTTTTTATTTTCTCTAAATCGAGAGGAATTTAGCAAATATTGGGGGAGGGGGGGGGGGGGATTTTGGGCTAACTGACAGCTAACTGACTCTGCTTCTGAAGCAAAAAAGTTCTATATAAAATTTTTCTCAATTAATTTCCCTCCCCGGAATAATCCTCCAGTATACGAATGGGTTGAAATAGGGTTGAAATATTAACTTCCCAGGGGGAAATAATGAGATCAAAAAGTGAGTCAAAATCCGATTTCCGACATTTGGCTGGTCCCGATTGTCAAATATTCCTAATTCTGACACCTTCGCTGTTCCGACTCACTTCCGCTGGTAAAGCCAACTTAATTTATTTCAAAAAAACAAACAAATTAAAACAGTGAACTGAATAAAATTAAAAATATAAAACTAACACCCTGCAGAATAAATTAATTGCATTAATTTTTGAATGATAATAATTAAAATTAATTAATTTGCAAAAATTTTTATTTTTGCTAATTATGTAATTTGAAAAAAAAATTAAAAAATAAAATTATAAAATAATCACGAGATATTTTTTAATTAAAAAAAGTTGTAAAAAATTGACAAAAATGTGTTTAATTAGAATGACAGAATTAAAAAATGGCTGTCAATTATACAAAACGAATAAAATAAGTGACAGGGATTTTTTTAATTTATTAAATAATTCTGCGGATAGCAATGATTGGAGCACCACAAAAGGGCGCGACACGTTAAGGCGCAATCGTACACGATTGGGCATATGTAATTATTGGCGCGATAAAATGCGTGTTGATTGAATTGAGAGGGAATCTCTCTAATTAACAATATCATGGGATTTGAGCATCGAGGGATTTGGGTGTGATATCGATAGACCCAGAAAAGTAACGGTGATATGAGCGTATATGGTATCTTGAGATTTGGTTGGAAAAAGGGTAATTCGAGGAAATATCGGGCGATTAATATCGGTCGATTAAGGTGGATATCACGGTTTTGGTGGTATATGGCGATATCAGGAGATTTGGAGAGAATATTAATGGTTATATCGTTGGATTCTACTTTATCTCTTTTAATCCCTAAAATCCAAACTCAATTTTATTTGTTTTTACAAATTTCACTTAAATCCATTTGTCCCCTTTAATCCCCTGATATTAAGGAGGAGGGTCGCTCAATCCCATATTATCCCTCCTATCCTCTTAATTTTAATATATAGACTTTTTTAGAATTTCCGCCTGCGGTTCAAAAATGGGAAGATATCAAGCTAATGGGGAGGAGCCCTGATCTAAATAATATCATGCTTCGGCTCCTGACCTGGGAGTCGGATTGAAGTTTTAGATTTGGGGCTCAAAATACAACGCTGAAAATGAAGAAGTATGTGGTAAATCGGAGGATTTGCATAGATTAAGGCTGATTTGGAGGGATATCTGGTGATTTGAAGGTGACGCGCCGTTTTGCTGTGCTCTTTTGTGCAGCGCCCAATCATGTTCACCCTTTTCTGCACGCTTTCGAGGTGTACCGTTGTTAATGATAAATAGAATTTAAAAAAAGCTTTTCAAATTAAATGTAGTTGATTGATGGAATTTGTAAAATGGCCAAATTCTATTATCATTGAGGTAGGTATTTTTTATATTATTTTAGCCATATATAAACCGTTTAATAAAAACGATGATATAGCTTTCAAATAAATTTTTAAAATAAAAATTCTTTTTCCTGACAACAATAACATGTTTATTAGAACAATATATATTATTATTCTAGTTGTTTCTCCTTCTGTAAACAACCAATATATGGAGTTAAAATTATTTTCTGTATAAATTTATTTTAGTTTTTAAAGTTTTTATGGAGACGATGCTCCAAGGTCCAAACGAGAAGAACCGGATCATGGTTGTAAAAAATGCCCGGAGAGAGTGAACCAGTTCCAGGCCGTAGGACTTTTTTAATTATTTAATTTATTATTTAATAAGTACATGTTTTTAAAAAAATAGAATAAATATACTAAAAATTTTTTTCATTTAGGTCGCATCCTCGGCACTTACAAGCATTGTTGCCGGTGTTACGGTACTTTGTTCATTAAATTCAACAACTGAAAGAGAATGTACTACAACAACGAACGACGTTGGGGAAACTTTGACCAACGTCCTTGCAATTTTTCCTAAATTAAAAAAAGATGGCCCCAAACCCGACCTAGCGTGTCAACTCATTCTCCAGAGTTGTCCACAACGGTAATATTAAATATAAATTGTATTTAAATATAAACAAATTAAGTAATGAACAAGGTCTTATTCTAGAGGGCCTTAGCTGTTCAAATTGTGTTTCCTTGTTAAAATATATTCTAGATGTAAGTTTAATTTCAAAATCGTATAATTTAGAAAAAAGAATTTTTAGATTTTGGGGAAAACATTCGACAGATTCAACTCCTTTGTAAAGGAGTTAATATGTTCTACAATTACAACTGAACAAAATAAAAATGACTGCAACATAAAATTCGAAAATGCTCTTCAGTTAAGTGATACATTCAAAACTCTATTAGAAAAAAAGGTTACGAAATTGACTTTTAATTATTTACAAAAATAATTCCATACTTTTTAGGAAACAAGTGAGGACTTTTGCTTATTATTGGGTTGTCTTTGAGAATCACATTGGTTGACTTTGGTGCCTTAAGAACAATTAAAGGATAATTTAAAAATTTCTGTTCCAAACACATTTTTAAACGAATTAAAAAAACTTGCCTTACATTTTAATTTTTTAAAAATACATATTATCTGTTCA